TTAGGGGGCGCCACTCCCATCCGGCCCCAGGGCAGGGATTGGCTGGCTTAGGGGGGCAGGGAATGGGACACAGGGCCTGTCCCCTTTAGGGGGCGCCACTCCCATCCGGCCCCAGGGCAGGGATTGGCTGGCTTAGGGGGGCAGGGAATGGGACACAGGGCCTGTCCCCTCTAGGGGGCGCCGCTCCCATCCGGCCCCAGGGCAGGGATTGGCTGGCTTAGGGGGGCAGGGAATGGGACACAGGGCCTGTCCCCTCTAGGGGGCGCCGCTCCCATCCGGCCCCAGGGCAGGGACTGGCTGGCTCAGGGGGGCAGGGAATGGGGCCCGGGGCAATTGGCCATCATTTCACTGGATTCAGTGAGCCCAGATGCCCAGGGGGGTGAATGTTTCCTGGTTGGAATGGTAACAGACCACGGCGCAGAACAGCTCCCCAGTGCTCTTGATCTCCAGTTTCACTCTTTCCAGCCAAGAGGCGCTTTAACTGGCCCCAGTCCCTTCTCCGGACCGCGCCCCACCCCTGCCCTCCCCCCAGACTGGAATTCAGCTGATGCCATCGGTCGCTGCTGCTGCAGTGTCAGAAAGAAACACAGAGACAGAACCCAAAACACTCCTGGAGACACCCAAATACATTCAACCCAAAGCCGGGGACCCATGTGGGTAGCATGAGAGGGTGAGGGCATCTGATTATTTATGAAACTCCAGCTGCGAAAAATTATCAGAGTCAAGGGGAGGTGGATGGGGGTGAAGGCTGAAAAGGGAGTGAGTGGGGTTGGGGGGAAGAAGATAGATAGATAGATGGGTGGATGGGGATAGATGGATAGATGGATGGATGGGGATAGATCAATAGAAGGGGTGTGTGGGGATGAATAGATTCCTCCCCTCCCCCTTGTACATGCAGATCAGGAAGAGAGCAAGTGACTCTTCTGTGTCCTTGACAGCCTCTATTCCTCCGTCCTTCCACTTCTGCGTTCTCTCCTTCCCCCTCCCCCGCGCAGCACCTTGTGCCTTTGGCAGAAACCTCCTGAGCTCATGGAAATAGGACATGGGTTGAGAGGGGCAAAGGGATACGGGACCCCCACCCACTGGTGAAGGATAGTTGAGTCTTCTTGTGCCCCTGTCTTGGGCTGGATCAAAGCCAGTGCCCCCCAAAGGGGTGAGACCCTGTGTCCCATTGACCCCCCCCCTGAGAGAGCCATTCGCCGGCCCTGGAACAAGGAGATACCCCACTCCCCTCCCAGAGCCAGGGGTGTGTGATGTTCCCCTTGTGTTATTCGGACCGGTGATTGGCTCGGTCACTCCAGCCCTCGAATCTGGGATCCAGCCTCACCCTGCTCCGCTGTGACACCCCCACTCCTGGGCTGTTCCCCACAGCCTCTAGCACGTGAGCTGCTCCCAGCTCCGGGAGTGAGCACTTTGGGCAGCCGCTGCTTGGACCGTGCAACCGACTGACACTAGCCGATATCTCCGGTCCCAGACACCCCCCTAGGAACCTCCGTCTGGCAGTCCCCAGTTCTGCCCGCTGGACGCCGCAAGCTTCTCTGAGTTCATCTATTTAATGAAGAAATTGACATGTACCTGGCTTGTTCTCCCCAGGGGAGTCTGACATGCTTCATGCCAAACACGCTGCTTCCGGTAGAACAAACCAACACATTTATTAACTACAAAAGATGGATTTTAAGTGATTATACATCATAGCACAAGTCGGATTTGGTCAAATGAAATAAAAGCAAAACGCATTCTAAGCTGATCTTAACACTTTCAGCGCCCTTACAAATGTAGATGTTTCTCACCACAGGCTGGCTGGTTGCCCTTCAGCCAGGCTCTCCCCTTCAATCAGCGCTTCAGTCGCTGGGTGGTGGTGTCTGTAGACGGAGGTGGAAGAGAGAGGAAGAGCCTGGCAAACATCTCTCCCTTTTATCATGTCCTTTCTTCCCTCTTCCCTTCAGAGTCAGGTGAGCATTACCTCATCGCAGTCCCAAACTGACCAAGGGAAGGGGGGTGACTCACTGGAGAGTCCAACACATCCTTTGTTGCTGCCTCCGCCAGTGTCCTTTGTTCCTGTGAGGCTGTGCTGGGTTTGTCCCACACATGTCCTGATGAGGTGTGAACTGCCCCTCGGCTCCTGGAGAGTTTTTGCCAGGGCTTGTTTTAAGCAATGAGGACACATTTTGAGCCTCATAACTATATACATGAAATTACAACCTATAACATCACTGTAACAACAATGCTCAGTGCATCATGAGCCTTCCGAAGACACCCGACGTGACAAACTTTGCATTGGATACCACACAATCATTTAACAAGGATGAACATGGGGGTGCAGAGTGTCCCCCCCCCCGAGGTTCAGAGTGTCACAGGTGGGGACTAGCAGGCTCGGGGGGGCTCGTTAAGAAGGAGTTAAGGGAAACTGAGGCAACGGGGAGATGGCCAATGTCTGAGCACCCAGGGCGGATGGACGTGGGTCAGTCGTGTCTCTCCAGGTCAATCCGTGGGTCCAGAGGCTGCAGGGGCCAGGAACTCGGGGGAGGAGGGGGAGCATCTTGTGCAGGGGCCAGGATGGTGGAGCTGAGGGGACTCCTCCTCCACACACCGCTGAACAGCAAGAAAGACTCATTCTGTGGAAAACAGCCCCCCACCCCTTGCAGGGGGGATTCAGAACTGCTCTGCTTTGTGTCCTAGCCCCCGCACTGCTCCCAGTGAGTGGCGATTCCCATGTCACCCCAGAGGCAGGGCCTGGGGGGGGCTCTCACTGCGGGGTCCCCTGGCTCACGTTGATCATGGCATACACGCTGGGCTGGGCGGGTGCGGGGGCAGGGGCCAGCCGCCCCCGCTTGGCCTGCAGCACCTGGCCGTCCAGCTCGACGTAGGTGAGTCCATCAGCACCGGGGTCGGGCTCCTGGGGCTGGCAGGGGGAGAGAGTCACTGGGGTGTGAAATACACACACACACACACACACACACACGGTGATCCCATAAGTTGACCCCCCTCCCAGCAGCCCAAGCCCCACCCTAAACCACTGAGTGTGCCAGGAAAGGCTGGGGAGGGGGGGAGGGGGCTGCCGGGGCCCCTGAAAGTCAGGGTTGGGGGTCAGGCCCCATGGGGGAACAGGGGACACTTACCAGGGTCTGCGGCTCTTTCCCTTCGTCGATGGAGGCGTCTGTGGAACAGAGACACCCGCTGAGCTGCACCCCCAGCCGGCCCTGAGCAGAACCCCACTCCCAGCTCCGACCCCTCTGTCCAGCCAGGGCGCTCAAAGACCAGCACAGCCACCCCTCCCCCGCCCCACAGCATGGGCCAGAGTCATTAGTCCCATGTTACAGAGAGGTAAACTGAGGCACAGAGATGTGTAGGGGGTTACAGCGGGGGAGGGGGGCTGGGAGTCCGAATGTCTGTGTTCTCGCCCTGGCTAGGGAGGAGATGGGATCTAGACTAGTGGTTAGAGCAGGGGGCTGGGAGCCAGGAGTGGATGGGGAACTAGAGCGGGAAGGGAGGGTGGCCCCAGGGAGCTCCTGGGAGTCCAACACTCTCAGCTGACACCAGCTACATCTGGGACCCTCTCCTTAGCCCCGCCCAGTAGCAGCTGTAAATCAGACCCCGCCCCATATGGGTGGAGTCCCCACAAGCCCCTCCCCTTCCCAGGGGTCCTGCCCCACCCTGGTACCCCCCTGAGTGTGTTACTCACAGATGGGGTCTTGCTGAGCTGGGGTCTTCAACACCCCCATAGGGCTGGTGCTAAAAGAGAAAATCCCCTTGTAAATGTCATATCCCCCCACCCGCGGGGGAGATTCCTCAACACACCCAGAGAGCCCTTCCATCCTGCCTCACATTGAACCCAGTTCCCTGAGCCTCCTGCCCCAACCACCAGAACCACCCCCACCCCCACCCTGCTCTAGCCACTAGACCCCACCCCCCACCCCGAGCTGGGACAGAACCCAGGAGCCCTGTGACCTCGGCAGGTCCATCGGGAGCGGGGAGGAGCCGGGTTCCTACCTGCTCGGTCTCGGTGCGGCTCCTTTTCCTGCAGAGGGACACAAACCAGAATCCCCCATGAGCCGATCGGGATCCCCCGGTCCCAGCGCCCAGCCACTCACCCCCCACAGGGCAGCAGGAATGGGGGGTTTGGGGGGCTCCCCTCTGCTGCTGAGCCTGGATCCCTGCTGGGGTGGCCCGGACCAATAGGGGGCAGCACAACACCATAGCATGCACTGGGGGGAGGGGCAGATTAACTCGGGGGGCTTTTCCTGTCCCCAATCCTCCCTCGTTAGTGACTCCTTATAACGAACCTGATCCAGGCCGGTCGGCTCCTCTGTCATCCCATGTACCGGAGAAGCACGGTGCCGGCAGCTGATTATACAGAGACCTTTTGCCCAGCACTGAGATGCAGCCACCTCTGGGGTGGGACAGCTGTGTGTGTACAGGGATTACACATGCAACAGCGCCGGCTGCTGAGATCCCACCCCACCCCTTGCCTTTCCCGGCACAGTCCCCCATCCCAGCCGTGACCCCATCCCACCCGGCTTAGCCGCAGGTTTAACCCTTCCCTCGCTGGGCGAGGCACTCACTGGCTCGGGTTATTCTGAAGCAGACGAAGGCCATGAGGAGGAGGAGGAGGAGGACGGCGGCTGCCGCGCTCACCCCAGCGATAATGGAGCTGGCCAGACCGGGAGGTGCCGGCGATGCCGATCCACCTGGGAAACAGCAGCAGCTGTGAGTGCCGGGAGCGGCTGGTCTCGTCCCCCCCCAGTCCCTCCCACCCCAGGCGGCGCCCAAGGGGCTGGGACACCGCAGGGCGCAGGCAGAAGAAAATTCTATGGGGAGGATTTTGGGGGGCCCAGGGAATCAAGTGGGGTCAGAGCCAGCAAGATTGGGGGGATTGGGTGCGCTAGGGAGTGCTGGGTTGCAGGGCGGGGGCTCGGTAGGGGGCTCTCTCCCCATCAGTCAGGGCTGGCCACTGTCACGGGGTAATGGGGGACCCGCGGTACTG